TTCTTCTTCTTCTTCTTCTTCTTCTTCTTCTTCTTCTTCTTCTTCTTCTTCTTCTTCTTCTTCTTCTTCTTCTTCTTCTTCTTCTTCTTCAAGAGCACACGTCTTTTTTGCTATCAGAGGTATGTTAAAACAAGTTATTTCTCGAAGTCAAAGACGCAGATATTCGTTGAGTCGTTTCCCCCGTTACGAATACAACAAACTCCACCCTGACGGGGCTGGCAGCTTTTAAATCCATTGTTTGCGAATAATGACTCCCCCGAGCAAGGAAAGCTACATTTCCTTTGCATTTCCACACGTTTCACTTCTCGTCTACTAAGAAGTGGGAAACAAAACGTGTGGTGTACATTTCAATATCTGATGGCGAGCTGCTATCGCTGGCGGTTCCAGGGCTCACATTCCGGCACTCGCGGGCCAAGACGTCAGTCAGGCTGTATCTGCAGCTAGCAATCTGATTGGTCGAGCAACAAAATTCCTTGTTTCTCTCATTTCTCCTTAAGCTTTGCGGGCATTTATCGTGGCTCTTGTTCCCCGTCCGCGGCGCAAACGTTCATAGTGTGATAGAAGTGAGAGGTGATTTCTTTTAAAAAGGGACTTTAGACAAGCGTTTCCACGAAGGACTCAAGAGCTACAAATCAGGTCGAGAAAGAGCTAAAAGGGCATCTCTCTCGCCGTATCTTGACAAATTGGGCACCAACTTTATTTTCTATTCCTGTTATCCTGCCGGAGCACGAGAAGGGAGAGGGGCCAAGTCTCGCCTCGAGTGTCACTGCTAACAGAGTCTGTATGTTTGGTCACATCAATCAACCCGATAAAGACGCTGTGACTGAATCACAAAGAGGAGAAAAAAAGAGCGCAGCAATGATAGCCCACAGCAACGATGTGTGTTTTAGAGGGTTATACAGCGACCCACGAGAGGAGAAGAGTGGTGTTGGTGGGTTGTTCCAATGTACTGGTAATCTATTCATGTGGCCTGTTTATAGAAATCACAAAAAGAAAAGGGGGGACTCTGTGTGTGTGTGTGTGTGTGTGTGTGTGTGTG